ATTGACAGAATGATTTTAATAACATGCTCAATGATTTTAATTTTGCCGCAATGCTTGTCATTTCAATAACATGCTCATGCATAGTACGCGAACCATCAAACTTCATGGTGGTCAGTGTACTCATAAGTGTCCCAACAAGAGACTTCGGTTTGGGAGCGCTCTTCCACAAGTTCATCATTTCGATGGTACTTTCAGTTTGTGGAAGAGCTGACTTAATGCTTTGAGTCATACATGTCACATACTGACATACTTCACAGATTCAACTATACTAACTTCAATGCATAAATTCAACTATACTAACTTCAATGCATATTAATGTTCGCCTTTGGGGATCCATTAACATACAACATTAACTATAATGATGCTATATAAATTTCACATAATTTGGCAATGATGCATACCCCTATCATAATTATTTGTCATCTTTGGATGTCCAAATGTGAGGAAATATGCCAACAATACCAACATCCATGTTCATTTTATAAAACAAATAATCAACCTTTGGGTTGATCCCCAACTGTTCTATAATAATGAACTTCAATATACCATAACTATAATAATTATATCATACTATTCATAGCATCACAGTCATGGTAATTGAAATAAAATTCATAATATTTGAAATTAAAATAACTCTTCAAGATTTGGCCACTTTGGTGACTAACAAATCTATCATAATTTAATTTCCAAAACTTTAATATTTCATAAACAATAATAGGATTAAATTTTCATATTCAATTTTAATCCAACCACATCATATAATCATTCACATTCACGGTTTAGAAGGAAAAAATAAAAATAAAACATTCATACAGTACCCAAAAGCCGATTCAATCAGTAGCTAAAACTATTATGGGTCTTCTTATTATACTTTAATGAAACCCACCGATTGACTTTTAAAATTAATGAGCAACAATACTGTATGCATATATATCGATTATTGACAAGTTGATAATACAAGCCGATTCAATCTCTTTGCATACAGTATGCATTATTTTCAAATACAAACCGAATGGCAATCTTTCCAACTTTGTCCTTTTGTGAATACAAAGTCAATTTGAATTTTTCCTTCAAAATTCACGATTCTTTTCAAAAACAAATGTGGACACAAATGGCAGTGATTCATGAAACCAAATTGAAAACCGAATGGCTATCGAGAAGTACCTTTAAGCATGATGATCGGAAATTTTCAATGATGATCGTGAATTTTATTTTCAAAAACCCTAACTTTTCATGAATCAGAAATTCATTCATAATTATTTATGGAAAAACACAAATTCTTAAACACATGCTCTGATACCACATGTTAGCAATTTTATCAGAAATCAGTAATACATGTTCATCAGTAATCATTCAAGAACATGAAAGAGGATCTTTAGAATTCATGAGTTTCACACAAACATACCTTTGTCCATAATTGCGGAAGATCTTTAACAGTAGAATGCTTTCTCTAAGCCTTAACCCTTTCACCGTTCTTGTACCTTCTTTGATAGGGATAGGATACAACTTTTCTAGGCAGACTCAGAAGGACGTTTGTTTTTTATCAGATACCCTTATTTGAAAACTGACCATATAAACTATTATATAACTGGCCTATCACAGTTATTTCTAATTAACTTCCCTTAATGCGAAACGTCAAAACGTCAAATACCATTAATGCGAAACGTTACCATAATGCAAAACGTTAAAACGTCAATTATCATTAATGCGAAACGTTACCATAATGCAAAACGTTAAAACGTCAATTATCATTAATGCGAAACGTCAATTACCTTAAAGCCTCTTTTATTATTAATCAAACCAATTGACACACATCACACATGAGACACAAATAATTTTACAAAAGTTTGTCATTTCTTCCCAATTTACTTAAAACAGCACAAAGAGAACAACATTTTTCCCTTTGCGATGTATGTCATAGAGCAAAACAGACTCGTCATTCTTTTCCTAAATGTACTAGTCATAGTTTGATTTGAAATGTTTTGAATAACTACATTGTGAAGTTTGGGGGCCTTATAACACATCTTCTCTTTGTGGAGCACACTATTTTTTTTTAACTATCGTTGATGATTATAGCCATATCGTTTGGGGGTATTTAATGGTAAAAAAAAGACTGAAACTTTGAATGCGATAACCAAATTTTTTGCTTTGGTTAATAGATAATGGTACGGAGTTTAGGCACGGGACCTTGCTCGAGATGTACGATGACTTAGGAGTCATTAATACACACCTTAGTAAAATGGCTGTGTGGAACGCAAATACTGACACATTTTGAATGTTGTGCAATCCTTATGTTTGCAAGCCAATCTACCATTTCATTTTTGGGGTGAATGTACACTTACAATCGCGCACTTGATCAACCAAACTCTTACAACAATGTTAAATTGGAAAACTATTAAAGTGGCACTCACTTAACAATTTGTGCTTTTAGATGAGATGATAGTTTAACATGGTATCAAAGTTTGTGGCCACGTTATCACAAATATGATCCCCACCTCCCCCTCATTCTTCTAATAAATATTTAACTAAAATTTCATAGAATATGTAATTCCCCACACTAACAATGGTATATTACACTTATATGGTTTAAGCGGCGAGATTAAAAGCATAAGATACAATTCAAGCACAAGCACAAGCACAAATTAATACAATAAGAGTGTTCATAACATATATAGGTGAAATCTATATACAAGTGGTTGGTGCAAGGCTACCCAATCTTCTTACATACACAAGTTTATAGTCTCAAATATAGACATCACAATATAAGAGAGTATGCATTCTAAAGTGTTAACATGTATAGGTGAAATCTACATACAAGTGGTTGGTGCAAGGCTACCCAATCTTCTAGATGCAGAGACCAAATACTTATTCAAAAATTTGAAGATCCTTTTACAGTTAAAATTCCCACTTTACATTCGTACCAACATACTTGTAATCATCTTTAGGGTCTAGGAAAAATCATAGAATATCACATAAAAAGAAAATCTTCACAATTCAACCATGATAGTGAACTACTAGTATGCAAGCACGTAAACTTTGTATCATATCACAAAATTTACAAGTAAGAATAGGACCATGCACATATTTTTAAGTACAAAACCAAATTTAGTTAACGAACAAAGACAAAGGTTTTTCTCTAAACTTACTCTTAAAAGGAAGGGTAAAATTACAGCAAGTCCACTCAAATCTCCCCTTCAATCTCTTACTTCTCCCTTACAAGTTGAAATAACCTGATTAGAGCTAATTCTTATCATCACTTTGGTCCTAACTCCTAACCGAAGCTTGAGTTCAGAGTTTAAGTTCTAAGTTTTTTTTAAATACTTTTAAGCCAAATTTAATTTTAGTGTTTAAGCCGACCTACGAATATTTGAACTGGATCCGGTTCCGATTGCAGATCAAACAATCAATTTTTATTTTTATTTTTATTTTTTTGGGTTGGATGAGCTGGATCTCTTAAACCCTCTACTATGACACTATTTCTAGATGGGCTATTAACCTTTTTCATGGGCTAAATATTTGACACAATGTCCCTGCCACCATGTGCAACTGGGTAAGTAGCATATATATTCAGCTACAAAAACAATTGGGCGATGTTTATATTAACATACTTGTCTAACTGAATAAACCCACAATTTTTTTAATTTTAAATTATTTTAAGGTTGTATCAATTTTAATTATGATAAAAAAATTTCTATCAAGCTCAGAAGAAATAATATTTTAAAGTCACAAGAGATAATTATTTAAGGGAAATGTACTTCTCTTTTCAATGGAAAAGATATTTTATGCAGCAATCAATTTTTACTATGTATCCTCAAGGGTATATTGTGAAAATATTAAAATTGTAAAAAAAAATTTCTCTTCAAAAGTTGTCTGTTAATGTGAAGAGAGAAAAAATAATAATTTTCATATTTTTATTATGTACTAGCAGAGAAACATAATAAAAATCGGTTGTTGCAGAAATTTCTTCTCCATTAAAAAGAGAAAATTTGAACCCATGATTTAATTATCTAATGTAAGAGGAAAAACAACAAATCATTATTGTTATATTATTATTATATTGGATAATATATTTTACATATAACAGGTATCTCATGCACAATTAATAAATGAAATTCACTAGAAAAAAAAAATGAATCTTAAGTATTTTTTTTATATGTATAAGATATATATTTCCATAGACATTACATTTTAAATAATTTACTCGTACCCAACATGGTTTTCATTATTGTCGGCACTGGGCAAGATACTGGTAAGGCCACGAGACTCCCACTCCCAGTGCCGTACGTTGTCAACTTCACACATATCACACACCACTGTGGCACTGTCAGGTTAAATTTTCAAAGCAGTTTTGATAACTATTGCCTTTGACTGTCATTATTTCTCTTGATTCGCAACACTTCCAAATTTTGAACATTGATTTCAGAACCGCTTTGGAGTTTGGACACCGCCCTTGAGACAGCATGTTACCTATAAGTATAACTCTGTAAGCGTGGGATTTGAATCCTCTGTAAGCGTGACCATACTCTACAACTAATGATTTACGCATCTTCACCGCAACATCAAAAACTGCGAAGCATTTAGTAGCCCCCACTTAACTTCTAATAAATATTTTAGGTGAAAATTTTCAATTTTTTTTATCACTCCTTAAAATCCAATAAATCACGGAAAATATTATATTTATAATTTTTTTATTTACAAATTATGTGATATCTTATCAAGATGACACTGACATAATATAATAGTATAATTTATAAGTTTATAAATTTTTTTTTTTATCAATATAGCCCATCCTCATAAATCATATATAAAATTATCATCACTTAAGTGCATATGTGCATTATCCTACTTTAAACTCAATAAAATTATATATAAAATTTATTAAAATAATTTTTACCCAACGACATGAACTTATAAGTGAGATGATTATTTAATATCTTACTTACTGTAAAAAGTACCTGTAAGTAGTACGGAAAATAATTTCAATATTCAAAATAGTACCGAACATTTGGTGCACTGAAACAAAAGCATCTCTTAGAATTTATCAGGAACATATAGCTGTTACAAATTAGATATGTGCCATACATAATCAAAGCACTCTCTATCGCCCATGAAACCCCTAGTATTATACAAAAGTGGCCAAAACTGAAAGAATGATATATAATCAAAGTAATATGATAGCATGATATATATACACACATCTTGAGGAGATAATAGGTATCTACACTCAAAATGCCATCATCAAGGAACATTTTGAGTACCTATCCATCTTTCCAAGGCCAATAAAAATTTAGGCAAATGGATCAGAACAATCATAGAACTCATGATCACTTCCAATGAAGTTTGTTCCAGTGGTTCTGTAAAGTTGACATCAAAGCAATCCAAGTTTTGTTAGAAACTTCTTTACCGTTTCACGGCCCCATTGGATGTCATTTTGGAAGAGGTTACCATCAACTGGTTGGGAGTTTGGCCTTTCTTCCATTGCCGGGTCTAAATCACACTGCTCCTCATATTCATTGTCATGCAACTCTGGTTCATTATTGATTGTTGCATTTATCTCTTGGGGTGCGCCATCATTGGATTCTTGCTCCTTATTGAACTGAACATTTTCAGTTTAAGCACATGAAAAATAACATTAAAGAGATATTAATACTGGCATCAACCATTTAAAAGCTGCATCAGCTTAAAGAATACAAAATCATACAATGCCTTAAAGAGTGATAAAAATTGTCCATCACTGGTGATGCCCTACATTTATCAGAAATTTATTGCAAAATACGCATCAGATACTTGTAGTCAATGGTAAAGAATGCATATTTACAAAGAGGGGAAACTTGCTATATGGGATTCTTGGTAAGTTTTGTAACACGTTCCCCCCTGACTTGAGAGGGTAGGACTGAAGGTTGATTCAATACAACCTTACGGCTGCTCCAAGGCTTTCCCTCTAACCGGTTTCAGACTCTTAAAATAACTTTTAAGTGATATTATTGGCTTGTGTTATTCAACAACCAAAAAGTCATAGTAAAGTTTTTCATAATGATAGCTTGGCTATTTGGTTGTTACCCATAATTGTTAGAGCACTTCATTAATGATTAAAATACGTATAATTAATGATACCAATTAAATTGGAGACTTTTGTTCTGTCCTTCCCTTTTTGGCCTTTAGATGCTCTAGTTATACAAATGAGAAACAAGCTAATGCCCAATGATATGGACAAAATTTCACTTCATTGATAACATAGATGATGATACAAATGAAACAGCTCAAGTGGATTGCAAACCCCAAGCTCAAAACAACTTGTGCTTTTAAAGAAAGAGAATCAAGCTATTCTCTGCCAAGGATAGGTGTGTACAAGAAAAGAAGGGGACTCATCAAGCGGTTACCTCTGGGATATTCTGATCCTTAGTTTCAAAAGCTCCAATTGAAGTATCCACAGTAGTCCTTTCTTCAACTTCACCTGGACCTGCTTGTTCAGTTGGCACAGTTGGTGGTATTAAGCCAGGAACAAGAACTGGACCTCCTTCAAAATCTAATAAGCTTCCGTCCAGAATTGTCCTTTCCTGATTCTTGAGTGGTGCAGCATTTCCATTGTGTCCAAGATCATGTATAATATCAACATTTCTGAGACTATCTGCAGATTCTTCACACTGATGAATCATACTCCTTTCATTCTCTTGGTGACTTGTACTCTTGATGAGATCCTCTGAGGAACCTATATTTTCTGCAACAATAGGCATTGACTTCTCCATTGAGGAAGTAACACTATCACCAGTGATTTGTTGCAGGACTGGTTCAGCAAGTGGTTTCTCCTCTGAATTAGTTTGGATATCTTCAATGCCTGATAATTCAGATACATCAGACTCCAATCCCTCTTGAGGGTTATCCAAAATTTCATCAAAAGTTGACACTTCTGAGTCAACTTGGGGTTCTTCATTTGATAGAGCAAGTGGATCTTCCTCTATTATTTTCTGAAGTTCAGCATTCTCCCAATCCTCACAAACAGTTATTCTATTCACAGTTTCCCAAGTGTTAATTATTCGATCTGAGCCTGGTTGCCAAATAATATCACCTCCTTTTCCTTTCAGTATGAACTTGAATTGGATTGACTTTCCAGTAGGCATATCCTGTTTACATAATGAAAAGCATAAATAGCATTTATAAAAGTTTACCATCAATCAATTTTTTCATATTTTGAAAAGATTCTACTCACCAGTTCAACAGTCCATATATGTCCATCTGACCAGGTCATTGGTAATGCATCCAAAGGGTCCCATGAACCAAGCTTAGGATCATCTCCAACTATTAGAAACTGCTCGCCAAAGTTACAGATTTTTTGTAACTGAAATGCTACACGAACAAACTTTGATTCATCTGCATCACTTGTTTGTTCACTTTGTTGAGCTTGAGGCTCTTCAGTTTCCAAGTCCACCTGCAATGTTTTATGCAGACCAAGACAGTCTCTCATCAAATATGCCACAATCTTATATGTAATCAATTTATTTAATGCATATACAACAATCATGTAAAACTTTTATAACAAACTTCTCCATAGAGCGGAATAATAATAAAAAAAAACACAACAAAACAAAACAAAAGCTAAAGGTTGTTGAAGTGGTTAAATCCAAAAAACAAAACAAAAATTTTATTGAAAAGGGAGAAAAGAAATGTTGTTGGAGTGGTATCAATCATTTGAAGAATTACTCATTCTCACGAAAGGGAGACAAAAAAAGTGATAAGGGAATCTGAACCAAGAAGTATAGAAGTAAAGTGCAAGAGTCTGCCGCAAGTTTAGAAAAGGGAGAATTTTTCACAGTATAAAATGAAACCAAAAGGTGAGAGAAAACTGGGCAAGCTCAACTTTTTGATCTGTTAGACTAGAAATTTCAGAAAAAATTTCAAAAAGAGAAGCAAAATCCTATATTTTGTATTGTTTTCCATCATTTCCCCCACCAAAGTAAGGCAGTGGAAAGAGTTAAAACACACAAACAAGATATTCCAAACAGGACACATCATTAAAGCAAAGAAAACAAAAGTGGGAAAGCAAGCAGAGAAAGAAACATACCTGGGATTTTGGTGGCAAAGCATGAACTGGGTAAATACCGTTGTTTTGGACTAGTTTCAGGAGCCAAAAGTTGCAGCCTTTTTTGTCATATCTAGAACGCAGTGAGAAACAAAATTCGGGTCTATCAGAAACATGAACAGCATCTCTGGGAGAAGAAGACCTTAGTCTCTCAACAATGGCCTTAGAACAAGAGCTTGTGAGTGCTTGCATCACTTCAACAAAGTGAAGTTTGATATGCAACACAGCAAGTTTCTTGGGAGAGACACAGTAGTTTGGTTTCTTTCTTCTAATCAGCTTTTGTTGGTTAGGGTATGAAAATGCAGCAGAATCTATCCATTGAGAGGTGAGGTGTGATCATTTTATATTGTACCTAGGACCAAAGATGTTTACAGTAGGAAAGTATACACCCGCAATAAAATAAAAAGGATAATGGTTCTAATTTGCACGTGTCTGGTGGACATGAGTTACCAGTAACTTCTCTCGTTGGCTTTATGCTTGTGTAGAATTTATTGAAATTAAGGGGGTGTATTACATCAGGATTTTAAAAGATTTTTTTGAGATAAATTTTTTTTATAGATTTTAAAAGATATTTTAAAATTGAAGAGACTTTAAAGATTTTTTTAAAAGACTTTTTTTACAATCAAGATTTCATAAGATTAGATTGTAAAGGATTTTAATAGAATTTATAGGATTTGAAAGGACAATATGAATTTATAAAATTTTAAAAACCATATCAATTTTTAACTAACAATCAAAATTACAAGAGTCCAATACAAAAGTGAAAGGTTATACTTACAACCTATTTTTGTTTATAACATTTTACAACCATACCTTAACCGTTTATTTCCGTCAATCAACGGTTATCATTCATTGCAAATTAAATATTAATTAATGAGTTTGATAGAAATCAACGGTTAAGATATGGTTGTAAAAGGTTGTAAACAAAAATAGGTTAAAAGTATAATCTTCCCCATAAAAAAATAACAAAGAAAGGCAATGAAATTAATAAAAAAAAATAAAACCTAATATAATTTTCTCAATCAGTAAAACATAATATAACTTTTAACAAACATTCAAAATTACTAAACAATAGCTTTTCACATATCTAATGGATTGAAAATTATATTCTTCATTTGTGTTATGGACCCGTGTAAGGGGCTCATTAAGTGACAGGCCCAACAAGGGGCTATCTAGGATATAAATATAATGTAATCACGGATAGATATCCATCAAAGATACTAATCCTAATACGACAACGTAGCAAGCAGGCCTGAGCTCTTATCAGAGGCAACAAAGGCCCATCCACACTACCCACAGGTAACCTTTATAAATACAAGGTAAACCCTAAAGGTACGTTACGCTCTCTCTCTCTCTTACTGTTATGTTGTCACTGTGCGCGCACACACACCCTATTGGCTAACGCCGTTAATAGTATTCTGTGCACAATGATCTGCTTGACTCAAGGGTATCTCTCCCATAGATACCTTGGAGAGGGCACTAGATCCAAGAGTAACATATCAGCCTATTGGGCTGGACATCTCTGTCCCAAGGACAGAACATTGGCGTCGTCTGTGGGGAATTCCTGAATTTGGAGTTTGATATTCCCACAAATCTGACTAAGGATGGTAATCCACACAAGGAGCAGTAGCCAGCAGCCACCCCAAAACCAAAATCAACCACTGGATCCAGTTCTGGAAGAGGTGAACCAGCCTCAAAATGATGTGTACTATGATCATGTCCATATCAGCGAGGATGTATCAGATACGGCCTCCACTCCAGCGCCCTGCAACCGAGTTACGGCTCTAATTCTGAACAACCCAACCAACATCCTGGGGAGTTGGCTGCTCACGTTGCCCAGTCTGTCGATCCTGACTCTCGACTGGCTCAAAATGCGTTTGCTGCAATTTTGCAGAGAATGACATAAATGGAGGATCGTAATAATCTCCAGTGGCAGCAAGACTTCCAAAGAATACAGGAAGAGAATACCAGGAGAATGCGAGACTTGGAACAACGTTTAATGGGGGTGACTGGACCAGGGGCGAGAGGAACCGAAGGCCAGGATACCAATGGCCGGGAAGGAAATCGTAACTCAAATCACCAAAATCGGATCACTGAGGTGGAAAACCAAGAAAGGCCTAATCCGGTGAGCATGGTGAATCTGAACTAGGAGAACCTGACAATGGGTGACCAGAATGCTGTTGCGCAGGCCCTAACTCAAAATGCTTCAATAGATGCAAATGGCAGAGGCACCGGGATGGAATCCACCCCAATCAGAATGCACAGATCATTAGAGGACTCGTGGAACCTGGTGCTTACAGAAGAAAATATAGCATGAGACAGTATAATAACAGTCCCTTCACTGAGGAGATTTTGAATGCTCCCTTCCCAGAAGATTTTGATTCGGCGCGATTGTCGAAATATGATGGAAGTTGTAACACCCCGTTCTAGAACCGGATTGTTATCATTGCGTACGGCATTAAGCGCAGTTACAATCACATTGGTTCAATTAGAAAATCGGATAAATTTTTCATTTTTAAACAAGCCGGATTTAAATAACCAAGTGCGTGATCATAACTATATATACTTCGCGGAATAGTGGGACTAAACTCAATATGATATTCACATTCTACTTGACAATACGTCGTTAGATGTCTTCATCACTTTAATTATCAAATTAATTCTAAACTCCTTTTATGATTCCCATCTTCTACTATGTTATAGTATTTTTCATTAGATACGCGTGGGTTCAAACCGCGCTCAAATCGGAGCACCGTAGCCAAAGTTATGCATTTTCTAAGAAAAGGGTGCGAAACCTCCAGAACCCTCGCGCCCGTAGCGTGAGATCCACGCCCAGAGCGTGGGAAAACAGAAAGTTGACGCCCCAAGCATGGGAGTGGCGCCTCAAGCGTGGATGCTACTGTCTGATCTCGTAATTTGGCGCCCCAAGCGTGAATCTGGTGCCCCAGGCGCCATCCACAGGGCTGGGAGACCCAAAACAAGGTCATTTAACCTACCTATGGTTTTCCACTCCTAACTTGAGCTATACTCACTCAAATTACACCATTTTGGTCTCTATGGAAAGCTAAGAGAAATGTCTACAACTTCCATAGAGACATCAAAGTCCAATTCCTTCACATTGGGTATGAAAATTGGTCAACCGGACAGGATGTATTTGTTTTCTCAACATTTCCCAATTTAAACAAAAGGTACCTAATTGATTCTCAACTCAACCAATTCAATAACTCACTACCTAGAAAGCATGCATATATTGAATTTCAAGTAGGCATCATTTACAGTACATATTCATTACAAATCATTGAACTTAGCTTACAAAACGCTATGATCACTCCCTTGGCTCCCGTCAACAAAGAGATAACCAAAGGCATGAGCATAGGCTAAGTCCATTCCAATATACAAATCATAAATCTATCATTGTCTACTAATTACAATTCTATACATGTGAGCTACCAAAACAACATGTATAATCTCAAAAAAATGCAACACTTCATGCATATGCTAATCTAGATATGGCCACTTGCCACCAGAGGCTCCTGCAGCATCCTTACTTGAAAGGGGATCCCCACAACACGGGGTGAGATATACGAATATATCTAGTAAACCAGGGGTCCTTGGAGCATCTCTCTACCCCACAGTTCCATATCAGTGTAATAGCAATAACAATAATAATGCAGTAAATACATATTTATGCAAAGTGCAATAACATCTCCAGGAAAAATCCCTCGAGCTCTCAAGCTGTCCTAAGGAAACTCAGATGCAAATAGTTCTACTGGCCAGCTAACTACCAAGTATGATTTACGTATCGTCATGCAACATACCAACATAGGGAAACACCATCCTATGCCACACCAAATGCATACACATACGTATAACAAAGCATTACACTATTTTATTGCATTTATATACACAATCACAACCTCTACCCTTTCAGGGCTTGGTAGAACAGTCAAGGGAATTACACCCAAGGTCCGAAGGCTTACCTCAATGCTTCAGTCAACCTTTGTTCACCACCAACGGTTCAGCAACCAATCAACTTTGGTTTCAACGATGACTTACAAGTAACACACCTACACCAAGGTGCCATAGCATCCATCATACTATACAATGAATATTCATATATACTCATTAATACCAAAACAACTCTACATCCCAACTTAGCAAGAGCTTACCTATTCCAAGGAGCTAATCAAGCTCCATAGTTTTCTCCAATGGTTGATCACTCACGGTTGGTCCAAATGTCTCAATCCTAGACATCACAAGGATCCAATCATCAATCAACCAAGCCAACCCATTGATCATAATTACAAGAAAACTCTTCAACAAGCATGATAATCTTGCAATATACCAAGTATAGTCATTTAACTAACTAGGCTCATTTTTACCGATTAAATTACATTCCTAGCATTTTTCTCAACATGTGCTAAGTCTCAATTCTACCACAACATAGCCAATTTACTCAAATTCTCACAAAACCCATAACACTATTCATTCAAAACCCTATATCATGAAATTTCCAAGAAAACATGGTTCAAGGGTTAGAATCTTACCACCAATGGTCACACAACCAAGGATTGATGGTTCCTCAAGCTTCAATGGAGGTTGAAGCACTCAAAACCCCAAATTTCACCAAATGGGCGAAAATTTGAGAGCCAATATCCCTCTCCACAATGCTCCCCACTCAAAACAAAGCTAGGATTATGAAAGAGGAGGAGATTTGGAGTGGTTTAGGCTTTGGAATCACTCAAAATGGTTGAGATTAGCTCCCCCTAGGGTTTCTCTCCCTCTCTTCCTTTCCTCCCTCTTCTTCTCTTCCTTCTTCTTCTTTCTGGCGACGGGAATGGGAGGGACAATTGGGTTTCTTTTGTTGCTTTGGTCACTTAACTTATGTTAAGTGACTTTAAGCGGGTATTGGTTCGTCTATCTATTCAACTCCATTAATTACCAAACTTTACCCAAAAGTCTGGAATATTATTCTAGGAATATTTACAACTTTATTTTTATATTTTGGGCACTTTCGCCAGTACCCATTTATACCCCTTAATTTTCACTGAGTACACTTTTTAACTCCAAAGTGACTCAGATTCATTTCATTAAGTCTTATACTTAATTTAACTCACTAAAACATGCTTAATTATTTAATTACATGTAATTTGCTAATTAATTGGGTTAGGGCTATTATAGAAGTCAAGACCCACAAGTCCATATCGATGCTTTTGATACTGACATGTACATCCGAGGGATAGATGAGCCCCTCATATCTCGGATATTTTCCATAACTCTGACTGGGGTTGCGCAGGCATGGTTCTCAACCTTACCTGCCAACTCCATTGGGTCATTTGAGGAATTTGGGGAG